CTGGGCCGTTAATGAAACGTGCGTGACGTGACGTCAGCGGGCGAAGACAAATGAGTCATTTCTGTTGGACTCGCAGCAGAAACGGTGACTTAATCAGAGCTGCTTCACGTGCGGCGATGTCACTGTTCCACATGTGGTGAATTAGTCAGTCGACCGACGACAGTCACGTCAGGGGTTTCACTGGTTTCAATATCACTTTAACGGCTCCGTTTTTACAAATGACCACAGAGAAAAACTGTTTTTTTTAGAGGAGGAAGCGCCAATAAAAAGATTATTATTATAAAAATCAAACTGAGAGACTTTGCTGTTAAATCATCTGGATGAATCACTTTTTACCAGTTTTTCAGTTCATACTGGAATTTACATGATCTTTTCAAATGATTTTTTTTGCACGTTTAAAACTAAAAAAATTAAAATACACATGAACCAGTGTATAATTTCAAAAAAGCCCAGTATTGGGTGCAAAATATCAAGGTTGGTTTAGACAATTCAATATAAAACACCGGTTCATACAGTCAACGTTCTCTGCTCCAATTTTTCTTTGGATTTTTAAAAAATTAAAAAATTCAAACCTTCACTAACCAACTCCAAATAAAAATGGCACGACTTCCATAAAAGCCAAGTATTATTTCAAATTTGTTTTTAATCAAATTTCCCTCAACTTTAAATGTGAAACATCAGCGTTGGTCTGAGACGTGTGTGTGTGTGTGTGTGTGTGTGTGTGTTTTCTCCTTGTGTTTCTTCAGGCCTCCTGCACTGGCGGGGAGTCCGGCCTTCTCCGACATATCCCTGATCCGGATCTCGCCCCAGCGGAACCCCTCGGTGGGGGCGGAGTCGCCCTTTTACCCTCCGCACCCCTGCATGAACCCGTACATGGACTACATCCGCTCGCTGCACAGCAGCCCGTCTATCTCCGTCCTGTCGGCCACCAGGGGCCTGAGCCCCGCGGACGGTGAAGTCAAACGACCACCACACACACACACACACACACACACCCTTAAAAATAATTGTTAGAATTGATCAGTGGGCTTCGATCGCTATTAGGAGGAAACCCCTGATTCCGTGGATCAGGGTTTAATTCCGTCAGGAGGTCAGAGCAGGTCGACGCAGACCAGACCAGATCCATCTCTATTAAGACCAGGAGGCTGGTGAGATGTTATCTGAGGGAGGAGCAGGGGAGTGTTTTATGAGTACTGCTGGGTGGAGGATGCTGAGGTGGGGG